GCTGGCGGGCAACGCGGCCCGCGACAACAAGAAGACGCGCATCATCCCCCGCCACCTGCAGCTCGCCATCCGCAACGACGAGGAGCTCAACAAGCTGCTGGGCAAGGTGACGATCGCGCAGGGTGGCGTGCTGCCCAACATCCAGGCCGTGCTGCTGCCCAAGAAGACCGACAGCCACAAGGCTAAACCCAAGTAGATCTCATCTGGCAAACAACCCAAAGGCTCTTTTAAGAGCCACCCACATTTTTCATAAAGGGTTTGAGTCACTGCAGTTTTGATTGTCTGGTGAAAAGATACTTCAACGTGTTAATTGTCTTAAAAGTTTTTAATTGCTATTCTTTTTAGTCTTCCTGTTTCTTTATGGAGGTTGTCTTAATGCTGCTTTCTTTTTTTGTTAACAGCTAATGTTTTTGTCACCGAGAATTTTCGTCATTTATGCTTTTTTAGAATTGCTTAATCGGATAATGTTTTCATATTTTCAATGTCTTAACAGTGGGAAGTAGGGGTTTTATAATAGCGTAAATAACACGTGTCCTGGCCAGCGAGCTCCGTGTTTGCTGTCAGTGCTCTGTTCAGTACGTATTATATAAGAACAATCAAGTCTTAGCAGTCTGGATTGTTTCCTTTAAGAGTACTAAGTAGGAGCTAATCTTTATTGCACCTTCATATTTCAGGGAAAGTCAGGTGGGAAGGGAAGAAAAACTTGCAGACAAAAAAAGAGCCCTGAATAGTATTACGCAGTCCTGGCAGTGATTTGAACTAATTGTTTCTCAGCAGGAGGGTGTTCCTAGCCTCGGGCCCCTTACTGATCTACTTTTGCTGCCTTTTAGCGCTCATGTGGGAGACTCACCGGCTTTCCTTAGCGAAATTGTAGAACGCTAGGGAAAGGTTTCAGGCAGAGAGGAGCTGCTTCATTCCACAGGGAGGAGTTGCCCCCTACCACAGGGAGCTGTTGCCAGTGTTGCCAAGGAGCGGTCTGATGTTATGTGCCGCTGTGGTGGTGGTCACTGCACTACACTGGAAAGAGCACGATCACTTTTAATTTCGTTTTTCTGGCACTGATCACTGGATCTACACCGTCTTCTCCCTGTGGTATGGGGAATTTCGAGCAGCCAACTTGGTTTTGGGAGAAAGCGAGTCATTCTTTGAAGAGCTGCTGCTCTTACAGCAGGTCACACTGTTGCTTTAAAGTCTAATTCCCTGGTGTTGCCCTGCTGGCTTCTGATTTCCTTCTGGCTTTACTGGGGCTTTTCCTGGCTTGTTTTTCCCTTAGCATCTTATGCAGACTCTTGGCTGCAGAAGCCAGTTTTTAACATGACAGTGTCGTTTCCCATCTCTATCCTCCTGTATAGGAAAAAAAAGAGATGTGACTTAGCATCTCTGACTTGGTGTTCGATGAATTTCATTTTCCTGAAACTGAGTCAGTGACAATTTCACCCTTTCACAGGGGAAGAAGTCTACACTCCTCTCTGTGTCACCTTGTTCCACTTCATGAGACTGTCCTCTGCATATTGAGTTGTAGCAAATAATGGGAAAAACTTCTGAGAAAAACCGTGTGTGCACTCTCAATGTTGTGTGACTAGAATAAAATTCTAGCTTGTATGCTGTAGAAACTTCCAACAGAACAATTTTATGGCTTTCTTTTTCTTACAAAATAATACCCTGATATTGAGGGTGCGGTGGTAATAGTCAAGAAGATATATAATTAATAATAATTATTATATTAATTCCTCTCAATTTTTTTTTCCTGCTAAAGAATGTGCTCGGTTATTATGTTGTTGTAGTTTTGAGTCACATACTTAGGAAATAAAGCCATAAATTAACGATAAGGCTACATGAGATCTGAATTATGAAAGGTCGCAGGACCTCGAATGCATACTGTACAGCCAGACGCTCTTGTAGAAATGCTTTATAGATGTGGTTTACCAAAACCGGGATAAGTGAGCAGAACAGTTTTGAAAATACAGGTATTTCCCAACAGTGAACACCGGCAGCCTCCTTTGATCGGTACAGAAGGACTTCCAGATATTTCTTTGACAAAATCTTTGTTTTGCAACAGCAGGATGGGAGAGGAAGGTGAAAACGGGAGCACTTGGCAGCTCTGACGGGACAGATCTCCGGGCGGGGCGTCACCAGCCCCCACGGCCGCTGCTGCCGCATCCCCTCCTGGTCCAGCCCCGTGCTGGAGGGAAGGATTCTGCAGCTTGGAATGGCGGGATGCGCTGTGGCCCCGGACTGACGAGCTGGTTGTGCGTTAAAACGAAGCATTCCTATAGGAATTTGTGGCTGGTTTGTTTTTTTTCCCCCTTTGTTGTACATTTAGTGATTTAATTGCAGGAGTTGGATTTGGGCGCGTTAAGGAGAAGAGCTCGGCTGACGCTGAGTTATCCCGCTGCTGCAAAATGCAGCGGGGGAGGGGGAGTGCAGGGGGTGAGTAACGGAGTGGACGGTTCCCACCAGGAACCATCATTTCTCCAGCGACAACAAAATCCTTTGGGTTTGTTGGTCAGGCCGTGACAAGCAGATATTTTCCCGCTCCCTGCGCTGGGGACAGGGACGGTGATTTAAGGAGTAATCCGTCTCTGGGAGGAGAGAAATGGCAGGGAAACACAAGATGGAGAAGGACTTCACAGTGGGAATGGGGATGTTTTGGGATTAGGAATTCATCAAGTTATACTACTCTGTGACTTCCACCAACACCTTGCACTGCAGGAGGCCCCTGGGAACAGAAGGGAGCAGGCAAAGAAAAGGGTCGGATATCTCCTGGAAGGGCAGAGCGGGGCCCTGGATTTTTAGATCCAGAAACAGTTTCCTCTTCAGTTTCACCCCAGCCACCAGTGAAAGTATATTTACTTTACCTTTGTCAAGAAAAAAACATGTAGGGTGAAGAAGAAAAGCAGACATTATTCAGTTGAGATAAAGCTATTAATTACTCCCAGCTCTTTTGCAGTTCCTGATGTTTTTCCCTGTTCTTTATACCATGCCATTTCCTGCTGAGAAATGTGAGCTGCTCTGGTAACTCTGAAGTACAACACATACACATCCTGTGAGGTTTTGCAGGACATGTAATTATCAGTTAAGGCTAAAGCTCTAGGAGCTCCAGGTGCCTGTGAAATGTGACCATTTCACTTCTCCAACGGGGTTGCTAGCAGCGATTTCAAAAGCCCCCCATGTAGAGAGCAGAAACCAACTCAGATAAATTTGGCCTCTTGAGCCAGCTCAGCTGAGGCCAGGCACCCAGGTGTGCTTGTGGTGCAGCCAGTCCAGTCTGCTGATGCTTGCAGCACAAGTGAAGGCAGATCTGTTTAAAGATGTTTTTTGATATGTTGGAAGATTGGGCCTATGTCATTCCTATAGTAATTTTAGTCCTCTTTTCTAAGAGGAATGGCTGAAGGCACTAACCTTGCTGTGTCTCAGGAGTATAAGGTAAAAAAAAAAAAAAATTACAAACTTGATCATGTGGACTGTTCAGATTGTTTATTATTGAGGTGGCTGCTATTTGCTACAAAAAGAAAGGAGGATTCATACCAGAGATGTGTGCATTCCTTCACAGTTCTAATACTGCAAAAAAGATCAATATCCCTTCATCTATTAGAAATTCAGACTTCAGATATAACATTCTGTGTGCTTTCTTCTTATTTCAGGAATTATTTCTTCCATTTTCCTACTGCCTTTGCAAGTAAAAATACCTACATTAAATATAAGCAAGTGGGAATGCAAGTACAAAACATATTGTGGATTTTAGGTGGGATTAAAATTCCCATCTGTTCTGTAACTCTTTTCAATCTACTTGTTTTCTAGTTGTAAAATGAATTATGCTTATAATTGCTTCCTGAGATTTTTCAGTAATAAACATGAAAGGATTAATTTTTTGATTAATACCTTGTATCATTTTTGACAAGGAATGTCTTTGAAAGGCCCACTTTGATAGGGTTACAGTCAAATAATTTGGTTCTCTGTTGGCATGAAAGAAATCTAACCGAAAACACCCTTTCCACTTATACAGGCCTCTGGCTCTGTGACCCCAGCCCTTGAGGAAAGAGCTGCCTCTGCTCATTGTAATGCTTCATCCTTCCTCATAGGTGTGTGAGTTGGGAGGGGAGAAGTTCCCAGCTGAACTCCCATCTGCTTTCAGTCCTCTCCTCCAAGTGAGATTTGTGTCATGTCTTGAGCTGTGCTGTTCTCTGAATGGCACAACCCTTAGACCACTTATTTAGAATCTGAAGTCTCAGTTTTTTCATTTACCATCTAACCTCAGTTGATTTACATCACTGGCAGAAGCCATTACATCAGGGTGTGTGTAAAATCAGGTATTTTTCCCTAGTCAATTAATTCTCCTGAACTGTAATTATTTTGAAATATAATGTTTTCTATTTAAAATGAGAAATAAAGCCTCTGGGAAACTAACATTGCAATAGGTTGTCTTGGGTGTCAAGTAATTGCATTCTGCGGCCATTAAAGAGAATAAATCCAGGTTTGAGAACAGATACTGGTTTATGTCATTAACAAAACCAAAACAAATATTAAAAACTCAAACAAAAAACCTCAACACACTCCACCAAAACAAAAACCTCTCCAAAAAACCACAAAACCTCAAAAAGTAGCAAAATATTTCTACAGTCTGTGATTTGTTCAGTTTTTGATCCAGTTGTATAGCATCTATTTTTCATTTCTGATTCACTGTTCAGTCAGTTAACTAGAGAATACAGATATTTGTTTGCCCAGCTGGTGTATTTCACTTCGGCAGAAATAAAAGAGCAGGTGTTTTCTTTTTTAAATATGATGATGAATAAACATAAATTTTACTGCAGGCATGGTCATCTAAAGAAGATATACCTTATTCCAGGAGTGATAATAATTTTATTAATCTATTAAAAATAAAATGGGGCATTTTTTGTAACTGGTTGTATTGTTCTTCAGTGTTCTTTTTTGCTGGTTATTTACTAAGCTGTCATGTGACTCCAATCATCTGAGATACAAAAAATTGCTAATATAAAAAAATATTTTGACAAAAATGTTTTTATTACAAAGTGTAAAATTCCCCATATTCCAGATGCTATGAATTAAGAGGTGTTTTGAAGGTAAATATTGAAGGTAGATTAAAAGACAACATGAAGGGCCTGTTTATAGATTATGTGTTCAAACACTTCTCAGTATTGAGAATTGTTAGGATTAATAACTTTGCTTTGCACTGGAAGATCAGCAAGTTGGAGCCCTAGGGCTCATGGGCTGATGAGAGTGTAAACTTTTTGATAAAACTGGTGTCACACATGCTGAACAAGCTGAAACTGGCAAGTCAGAAGCAGAACGAAGATGGACCAAGGAACAAATCCCAAGAATTAAGTATCTTCAAAAGGAGGCCAGCCCAGTGACCAAAAAAATCAGTATGACATCAAGAGACCACTACCAAGAATTAAGGTACTGGACTGGGGGATTGGGTTATGGGTGACACAGATATAATTGGGGTTGCAATCTGGTGTAGGGGGTTCCTCTTTGGAGATACCCAGCTCTATCTGCTCTGCACACTGGATAAAAAACTTTTTTACTTACTCAGTGAACTGGAAACTCACCTTCAAAGAGGAACCTAGGGCAGGAAAACTGTTTGAGGGGGCATCTGCTTAGTTCCCTCAAGGTTTGGTAGCAGCAGCAATAAAACCTGCTCTACCAGGACAATGCATTTGAACACCATGCCCTCTTACTCGTACTGGGTAATGTCATCTGGGAAAAATTCTGTGGCAGTAGCTCTTTGTCAGTTCAGAGACTATTCTCAGCACTGTTAGAAAAATTAGAGTTATGTTACAGTCAGATCTGATGTCAAATGCTATGTTCACATTACAGCCCCCTAATATTGCCTTATCATTCATACTGAATTTGAAAGAGGCAATCAGCAACATTTTGGTTTTTTTTTTAGTAAGACTTTCATAGGCCTAGAAACAATTTCACACACTGAAACAATCTATTAAAAAATCCTCCGAAATTCTGTGACGGCTCCTAATGAAGTGTGTGCAACACGGAGCACACAAACATAAGAAAAGCAAAATGAGCACTTATGAGCTGGGAAGCCAAAAGACACCACTGAGCTCCTACTTTAAATCAGGCAGCAGGGCTTTCCCATGATAGCTCTAGTTTGAACTGGGGTATTTTCACATGACTGATTATATACAGAATAGCCACTGACAAATTCTTCTGGTGACCATCTTCAACTGTCAAAATATGAGCACTTTGTGCTTTTCTGGTGACCCAGGAAAACTTGAAAAAGCCTAGAGACTGGATATACGGCGATTTGTAAATCTTCTAAGGTATTAGACATATACAGGCACTCAGAATAAGCAGAGTTTGCACTAAAGCACTTGGAGAGATAGCAAAACACCATTTCATACTGATAAAGTAGACTTTGGAGAATGCCTCTTCCCATTGGATATCTGAAATTCAATCTGAGAAGTCCCTATAACCCTTCAAACTGAAATTAACATTTATTAGGTAATAGGTGACAGCTTTATGATGCCTGTCTTGTTACCTGTACTACCAAAGAATATGAAAGTCAGTACTAGAAAGTTCAGTTTTGTGATTCTGTGGTGCCTGTATGAATTAAGTATATTCAGAAGTTCAGGATATATACTTGCAATTTAGGATTATTCTGATCCAGTTTGAAAGTGATAATGGCTTTGATCTGCATCTATGATGGCATGTAATTATCTAAGAATGAGAGGGAGTGACTGAGAAAACCTGCAATTTGAGCCTAATTAGTAGTTACATGATAATCTAGTAGCTCACAGAGTCAATGCAGTGTCTAGTTACTTAGGGTTTTATTACAATTAGTGAAATACTAATGCAGAAGAGGTCAGATACGTAAAAAAAAATTAATCTTCCTGTGTTTTCTTACTTGAGAGGAGAACCCAAAGGAGTCAGGGGGAGAAGCTAGGCAAGTTACTAAAAAAAAAAAAAAAAAAAATCACATGAACAGTAGGATTAAAAAGACAAATGGCGAAGACAAATGAGATTTTAGAAAGTGCTTCTGAGTTATATTTGCAAGAGCTTAAGGTAAATGGCACTTGTCGCTACAGAAATTCTTTTATAGTACAGCGGGCTATACTCCTGTGACAAAAGTAACTGCAACCCCCCAAAAACTCCAAAGACTGAGCACCACCAAGCCGTACATTTTAGAATAACAGTGCTGTACATGGATGAGCATCAATGTACAGCAAAATAGTTTTTCCAATTCCCTCCCGACATCACCTAAAAAACAAAACCCCGACTAACACCCCCGCCACTTAAAATCGTCTCTACAGACGTATGGTATGTACTGAAAGTTCGTTAACTGGACGGCAGTATTTTATCAAAATAACCATTAAGCAGTATGCAAAACCCAAAACCCCTTAAAACGCCCCCTCCCCCCAAAAACCCCACCAAACCCCAGAAGTGCCACCCTAAAGATTCCACACTAAGAAAGGGTAAAGTGATTTTTCTTAATTGATTGTTCAGCCCCTTTATTGAAAAAGTGGGTGGCTCTTAAAAGAGCCTTTGGGTTAAACAGTATTTCTGGCAAGCATTTACTTGGAGCTGGTGTACTTGGTGACAGCCTTGGTGCCCTCGGACACGGCGTGCTTGGCCAGCTCGCCGGGCAGCAGCAGGCGCACGGCGGTCTGGATCTCCCGCGAGGTGATGGTGGAGCGCTTGTTGTAGTGCGCCAGGCGCGACGCCTCGCCCGCGATGCGCTCGAAGATGTCGTTGACGAAGGAGTTCATGATGCCCATGGCCTTGGACGAGATGCCCGTGTCGGGGTGCACCTGCTTCAGCACCTTGTACACGTAGATGGAGTAGCTCTCCTTGCGGCTCTTCTTGCGCTTCTTGTCGCCCTTCTTCTGCGTCTTGGTCACCGCCTTCTTGGAGCCCTTCTTGGGCGCGGGGGCGGACTTGGCCGGCTCGGGCATCTCGGTAACTAGCGCAGCTGCTCACTCGCCAAACACAGCCACCGAGAGCTCACAGCAGCGGCACTGCCTCGGCAGCCGGCTTTATACCACTGCCGCCGACAGCGCCGCGTCGCTATTGGATGACCTTCAGCTCGGCGCACGGCGCCGGGGTTCGCTATTGGCCAGATCTCGATTCACTTTTCCATTGGCTGTCGAACGAGCTCTCGTTCGCAGCCAATCACCAGCGGCTCTGCCGATCCGCCCGAGTTGTATATAAGGCAGGCGGCGAGCCGGGCTCGGAGCTCGTTCAGCTTTTCCGGGTTGCCTGCGGTCGCTGTTGCTGCTGCTGCTGAGTCGCTGCGATGTCCGGGCGCGGGAAGCAGGGCGGCAAGGCGCGCGCCAAGGCCAAGTCGCGCTCGTCGCGGGCCGGGCTGCAGTTCCCCGTGGGCCGCGTGCACCGGCTGCTGCGCAAGGGCAACTACGCGGAGCGCGTGGGCGCCGGCGCGCCCGTGTACCTGGCGGCCGTGCTGGAGTACCTGACGGCCGAGATCCTGGAGCTGGCGGGCAACGCGGCCCGCGACAACAAGAAGACGCGCATCATCCCCCGATACCTGTACCTCTGCCATCCGCAACGACGAGGAGCTCAACAAGCTGCTGGGCAAGGTGACGATCGCGCAGGGCGGCGTGCTGCTGCCCAAGAAGACTCGACAGCCACAAGGCTAAACCCAAGTAAACCCGAAAAGTTAGGCGGCACGTTCGGTTTTCTGAAAAAACCCAAAGGCTCTTTTCAGAGCCACCCACAAAGTCCTAAGAGAGCTGAATTATCCAAACTACAGTGAAGGCCGTTTTGTATTAATTACTCAGTTTTTGTTTCAACTTCCTTTATTTTTGGTTGGATAAAGTTTTCCATATGTTTGTTAATGAAATTGTACCAAAACGTTCTCCTCTCCATGCAAGTTCTTTCTGGCATGGGGTATTTTCCGTTTAGTTCTTAGGTCTGAGAACATGCGGACACTATTCGTTGGCAGTTCCTGTCCCACCTCCCTTTTCCGCCTATTTCTTCGAGTGTCTGATACAGTTCCAGAGATGGGAGGCGTAATCGTCTTCGGGGAAGGGAGGGGGAATGGCAGCGGGCCGGGATTTCCTCTGGCCAATCGTTGGGCAGGGCGGGTTTTTCAATACTTAAAGCCTTCTTTCTCATCGGGAACAAAAGGATTGGCAGTAGGGCTGGTTCTGTGTCAGTAAAGAAACCCACCCCTCCTCCCCCTAACACAAAAAGGCATTTACGGATAACAAAGAGAAATAATTCAATATATTAGACATGGCTCAGTAGTAGCGTGCCTGGCAATTGCATTATTTTGTTACAAAATATATCTTTAAAAAAACGTACATCCGATCTTTTATCAAATCATTATAAAACATTGTTTCTTGTAGTCAAAGTAATCACTTGGAGGCAAAACAGAAGTCTACACTTCCCTGAAGTCGCCGTGCTCTACCGCGTTCGTAACTATTTCTTTCTATAATCCCTAGGAAACTAAAAAAAACACAAGACACAATTGACCTCTTGACGACTTACGAATTGCTGGACCCTTGCTGCAGATTACGGACGACTTCGGTGCATCAGCTCCTTTAGGAAAGTGTGGGTGGCTCTTAAAAGAGCCGTTGGATAACAAAGTATGTAGAACAAAACTCTCCTGGAACAATTTACTTCTTTTTGGGCGCCGCCTTCTTCGCCTTGGCCGCTTTGGGTTTGGCTGCCTTGGGCTTGGCTGCTTTGGGCTTCACCGCCTTTGCCTTAGCCGGGCTCTTCGCTGCCTTCTTGGGGCGGCCGGCCTTTGCGGCTTTCTTGGGGCTCTTGGCCGCTTTTTTGGCCGCTGCAGCCGCCGGCTTCTTCGCCTTCTTGGGGCTCTTCTTCACTGCCGCCGCTTTCTTGGGCTTCTTGGCAGCGCTGGCGGGCTTCTTCGCCGCCGGCTTCTTGGGCTTAGCTGCTGGCGCCCTTTTCTTCGGGGCTTTTTCTTTCACTTCTCCGGGCTTCTTGTTGAGTCGGAAAGAGCCGGAGGCGCCGGTGCCCTTGGTCTGCACCAGGGTGCCCTTGCTGACGAGGCTCTTGAGCCCCAGCTTGATGCGGCTGTTGTTCTTCTCCACATCGTAGCCGCCGGCGGCCAGCGCCTTCTTGAGCGCGGCGAGGGAGAGCCCCTTGCGCTCCTTGGAGGCGGACACGGCCTTGGTGATCAGCTCGGTGACGCTGGGCCCCGCGGGCTTGCGGGCTTTGGAGCCGCTCGCCGCCTTCTTCGGCTTCTTGGCGGCGGCCTTGGCGCCGGGCGCGGGCGCATCGGGGGCGGCGGTGGGAGCGGTCTCGGACATCGCGGCGACTTCCTCTGCGGAGCGGCGCACACAATTGGGCTGGCCCGGGTCAGATGCTCGTATTTTTAGAGCGGAGCCGCGCCGTGATTGGTGGCTTGCAGAGCCCGCCCCGCTGCACGGCCGGGGAGCCCTTCGGTGTGCTCGATTTGTGTTTCTTTGGACTAACAAAAGTGTATTTTCCTCGGAATTTCTGCCACCAAATCGCCCAGTTTCCCCGGTGAGGGGGGAGAAGAGCAGGTACTTGCGTTCGGGAGAGTTTCCTGCGGCAAACACGCGATTTGAGTTAAAGGAGAGGCGATAAATCCCGTGTGCTGCTGCTGGAGAGACCTGTGAAGGGAGAAACTTTTGTTTTTCCTTGCAAATTAAAAATTTCCTTTTGACATAAATGTCACAGCAACAACTCAGTCTTATTCTTTAGAGGGTTTTCTTGGGGTCAAAGTTAAAATCTGACGATTTGAAGCTATCTTGACAGTTTAAATTGATTTTGAAGAGGAGGAAGTAACACAAACTCCTTTTTCAGCTCTGAATATGGATTAAGAACCGGTTCCTTTGACCATGTGTTTTACCTACTAAAACGCTAAAGTCTGGTGAGATAGTGTCTCGTACAGCCAATTATTCTACTTTTTATAGAAAGAGAAGCAATTTGTTATTATCTGGAGATTGCTGAACATAGAGTTGGTTTATATTGTCTTCCTGGAATTTCAGTACACGGAGGAAAAGTTACTCTGCTGCCCTATGTGGGGTGTTTTCTTTTTGTTTGTTTTCCACACAAATTTTTCTACTAAATATTTCGTAAATCGAGCTATTTGCTTATCATGTTCCAAATTATTTTGAAGTATATAATAATTTAAAACCTTATGTTACAAAACTGCAGCTTTGTAAAAGAAAACAGTCTCCTACACTTCTGTTGTTTATGGAAATTATCTTTGTTGCTGGTAATTTAAGATTTGCCAGGAGTAGCATTGCAGTTTAGTAAGTTTAGTAATCATGCTCTTCATTCCCAAAGAATATTACCTTGTTTTATGTTTTCTCTAAGTGATAGAACTGTGAACCTTGTTACTGTTTGGATTTTTTGTATGTCTCACAGAATATGGCTACACAAAGGTTTAGCTAAAGCCTCTGAATTCTGAATCCCCTTCTCACGCTAAATAAAACCCACCTATTTATTACTTGTGCATTTTACAGGAATCACTGAAATAAGGAAATACTTTTATGACAGAAACTAGAGCATTTTGTGATAACCTGAGTTTTAACGAGGGGAGAGGTAGGCCATAGGTCATTCCTAAACCAGGAAGGAGTCAACCTGATATCTGGTAGAAGATGGTGTAATATGCTCAACAGAACAGAGCTCTGGCTTAATATTTCACTAATCTGTAACTGATTGTGAAAAAAAAAATGTGTATTATCCATTGTCTTCTGTAGTTGTTTAAGAATCACAAAGACTACACTACATCAGTTCCTTTGGTATTACCTAATATAACATATAATGTGAATACAGTATTTAAGTATGTATTAGCAACCAGAAATTCAGCGTTTTTGAGTAGATAGTTTTAGGGAAAAGTAATTCTATTTCTGTGTCAGGTTTCATTTACAATGGCTATTTTATAAATACTAAAATGTGTATAAGGTGAGAGATTTAGCTTGCTGTAAAATTGTGTTCCAGGGAATGTGAAATTATGAATAAATGCAATGAAGGGGAAAATTGTGACCTCTACCCCATAAAGATAAAATACTATAAAAAAGGTTGCAGTCAAAATGCACTTGAGCTCTGCAATGCTTTAAGGGGAAGTTAAATGAGAGAAGAGCTAATCAAATTGTGACTTCCAAGGTCCTGTTTGGCAATACTATGTAACAAAATGTAAAGATACAGGGATTAAATTGAGTGGATGTGTTATTGCAGATATACCTTCAGAAATTGCCAAATGAAAGTAAAATGTTTTGAAGCCTTTATCTTGTACATGTAAAACTATGAGTGAACCTTTCCATTGATTTGGCTGCATAATGTAATAAGGTAGCAATTGCTGGGAAGATATAAAATTTAGCAGTTGCCTAGAGACTTCATTGCATATAGACAGAGGAAAAGAATAGATCATGAGTGACATGTCAGCAAAATTAAAAATTCCTTTTTGTTTATTCTTGTTATTTTTAACACATTTACTTCAGTAATCTTCACTGAAGGAAATATAAATATTCCAGCTCTCATTTGTGGCTTCACAGAGTCTTCATTCACATTTGTTGGTGGCAAAATTGAGGTGGCTAAAATGGCCACTCTCCCAGTTTTCTGCCTGGCTTTTCTCCCAGCAGTTGCTACCCTTTCTTCATTTAAAAAAAAAAAAAAAAAAAAAAAAAAAAAAAAAAAAAAAAAAAAAAAAAAAAAATTAATAAAAAAAAAAAAATCGACTTAGTATCTATGTGTCAGCTTCTGGTCTCCAGCTAAAATGTAGTAACTTAAACTGAAGTAACTTCAGAAATTTAATTACAGAGAAGCTATGTAATTTTTTTAATGGTTTTGCAGCAGGTAGATAAACCAATTTTACTGATGCAGAATGGCTGCTTGGAACACATATTCGTCTTTATGAAATAAATAGATACAAGAACAATGTTTTGGAAAGCTCAGGTGTATTTGGCAATTTTAAAAAGAGCTGCTCTGCAGTCAGAACAGATAGTTAAAAAAGAATGAACAGATGTACTCAGGCAGAGAAAAAATGTGGTGAAAGGTTACCCAAAAGGCAGAAATGGCAGTTTTACCTTTAGCTGAGCAAATGAAGAAGGGAAATAATCCTGTTTTAGACGTAGGTTATTATGGAAATATATTATTGAGAAGACACTACATAGACTGTTACATATAGTTTGGTTTTCCCAATGAGACTAGAGGGAGGTAGAATTCATTATTAATAAAGAGAAGGAAAGTAATATCAGTATCTCCAGCAATACTTCTGGAGAAGGCACCACTGTAAGGTCTACTTCATATGAATTATTTCAATCCTTCTCACCTTATGAGCACCCCAGCAGGCCATACTGCGTAACAAACCTGCAATTTGAGGCTTCCCTACAAGTTGCTTCCCTTCAGATACCCAAATCTGTCCAACTTTTGCAGTTATCATTAAGACCTCTTGGCATTAGGAAGGAGACAGGAGAACCACAGCCAAGAGCTGGCAGTACACCTGAGAGCTATCAAGTGTTCCCATCTGCAGTTTAGGACCTGCCAATACTTGTTCCTATGAAAATAAGCTGTGGGTTATATTTAGGTATGTCTGCATTAAGGAGAGGTAGCACAGTAGTTGTTCCCAAGCAATTTTGTTAGGAGGCATTAGCATGAGAGCCAGCCACACAGACGTGGCTGCTGGGCTGCCCTGCCTGCTGAGGCTGGGTGCTGTGTTCAGGCATTCTCAGGCAGCTGAAGGAGGCACAGCTGTGACACTGGGGCACCAGAGCCCCTCTCCTCGCTTCGGATGGCAATTTCCAGAGAGATTTAAGTGAGGGCTTTTACATTATGAGCTGCCTTCCCACATACATGTTCCACAGGAAAGAGGTGTAAATGCTCCCTGCAACCATGATTACACTCCTATTACAGTGTTACACCCATGCCTTACTTGGCCTCAGTGACATCATCTTTCATCTGAGTTTCAAATGTAATAACACTTGTGTGATCCAACCAGCCAGCACAGTTTAGCAACTTTTAACACCTAGCTAAGGAATTTTGAAGCGAGACCTACCAAACTACAAACTTGTTGCAGCTCAGCAGAACAAGCCTCTGCCTACACTATCCTAATATCTGCTGCTTCTGCTCTTAAGACTCCTAAGTATACTGAGGTCACATAAGGCCTTTTAAATTCAGGGTATGAGTGAGTATCTGTAAGGAGCAGAACAAATAGGTTAGGGCAACAGATGACTCCCCATAGACTCAGCTTCCTGGAATGTTGTACACTCCTCCCTGTACCTTTGGTTAAGGGTTGGGACTCCTGTTGTGTCCTCCCTTCTTCATTGCCATGTAATTTGGCAATTGAAAATCTATAGTCTGAAACCTGGATATGTCCATAGTTAGGAGGCATTGGGAAGGAAATCCTTCCTGGGAAAGCAAAAAAATTGTCAGCAAAAAATGCAGGGGCCCAAAACCTTTCTCAGAACAGCTAATGATGAAAAAAAATGGACTTTGTTCTTTACTCTGTGTATGCATTTATTAGCTTAAGGCATTTTTTGCTTTTTTCACACACATTTGAATGTCATAATCAGTGTGAGATTGAGGACACTTCAGGCCCTTTGACAAACTGTTCCTGAGAGGTGAACAACATTAACAGAAGTTGCATCAGCTATGGCTCCCCAAAGAAATTGTCTCCTCCTGAATCAAGAGTGCCTTGCTTTGACTTGCATTAAGTGGTGAGGTCCACCAAGGCAGGGTGACACCACACTATCCTTTCATAGCAGCCTCTCCATCAGCAGAGAATCCTGGCTGCTCAGACTAGCCAGCAGCTCACATGGAGGGCTGCTAAGCAGCTCACTCTTTCTCCATGCAACGCTGCAGCACTTCTGTGAATTTTCTGCCCTCCATACTTTCCTGCTTGTGTGAAAATGCTGTTTGTAACTTCTGGTACACAGGAGGGAGCAATGTGATGAATCTAAATGTCACTTCCCACTCCGGCCAGAAATGTGTTTGGAACCTACGGAGGGACAAAGTGTCCTTGGATCCATGGTGCATGCACAGCTGGTCTGCAATCTGCCATCTTCCTGGCTGTTGATGTCCCAGACACCGATGTGACACACTTCCAGGTAAATTTATGTTGGCAGGCAACTCATTTTTTTGCCTCAGGCACTGACAGTGTCACCCAGGCACAGCAGGTGAAGAGCCAGAGCCCTGTGTAACACACCATGCAAAGGGGCTCTCCTTAAGTGGTGCTGCCTTCCTGTTATTCATCAGAGGTGTGAAGGTGAACCAGGTACTGGCTCTAGACAAGGTTGTTTGTGCCATCTTTCTGCAGCAGGAGTATTGCAAGTTAGCATTTGGGAACTCACTGTATAGGATGTTTTCCCATAGAAGGGAACAAAAAGGTTTTGAAGAGTTGTTCACTGGGTAAGTGTTGTGCTGTAGTTCCTGTTTTTAAAGTACATGCTTTGCAGCTCTGCAGTCCATGGTCTGGTGCCAGAATAGCATTATCTCAGATCAGTATGTTGTCCAGATTGCCAGGGGTACTGGAAGGGCTGGCTGGTGCCTTAATTTCCCCCCAATATATTCATGAGGTCAGCAATTTGTCACCTCTGCTGTCATACAGTTAGGAAGTCGAGTTTCAGAGGCTTGTGAGACTATATATGTATGGTTTGGGCACATTCAGGAAGAATATATTTCATCTGTTTTGCCTGCAAATTGCCTTGGTCCCATAAAAGATTGGCTTCCATAATGACTGTATTAAAACTAAATCTTTTTCTTTCTGGCACAGGTGCTTTTTTGTTTTGTTTGCTTTTTGTTGTTTGGTTTTTGTTCTGGGTTTTTTTTTGTTTTTTTTGTTTTTTTTTTTTCCTTTGGAACTGAAAATGCCACCAAGATTTTGTTGATTTGCTTTTGAAATACAGAATAGAGTAAAAACTTTAACTTTTTTATTCTGTTTGAGATTTGTAGTTTGTAACATCTGTCATTTAATTGTGTAGGTAGCAAGACTAGCATAGAAGGCCAGCACTGAGCAGCCAGGAGCACGGAGCAGCAGACATCCAGCTGTATAGAGGTGGTAAGTAAAGAGAAACCTGCTGGGGTTTGGGTTTGCTCAAACTGCAATGAGACATGTACAAGGAAACTTAATAGCTTAAATTACTCAAAGCTGTTGAGAAAGGGGCCTGGTGATCAATAAAGTGAACGTCTGAGTAATTCTAATATTAATTGTCCAAATCTAAGGCATGGTCTTCTTATTAAAAAATTTATTAGGATAAAAAAATAAGAAAAAAAATTAAAATAAATAGAACCGAAACCAAAGTGAAGGAGAAGTTGCAATTTCTTATTGTTTTATCAGTTCTTTAGGCCTTGGTGTTCTTGAGGACATAGAAAGGCTTTCAAGGGTTATCACTGTCAGCCACATCAGTGAATAAAGACAGGAATTTTTGTTTGCATTTGACACTAATGAAAAAAAAAGATGGGTTCTTAATCTTCAAGTTTGTTTGAGTTTAGATTTTTATTATTTTCATTTTACCACATGTGCTTATTGTCTCTGCATGGTTAATGGTCTTAGCTTTAGTTTGTGTTATAGTTTGGGTGTTTTGGGGTTTTTTTGTTAGTTTTTTTTTTTTTTTTTTTTTTTTTTTTTTTTTTTTTTTGTTACCTTCTCCTTGGGTACCAGGATCATCTGGTTATGGTCCTTTCAAACTTGAGGGACACACAAGCTCTATTAGGCTAATATTGGGAACATGAAATTTGTAAGCCTGGGAAAGGCCAGAAGAATACACAGTGCAATAGCAGAACTTGTTTCTTAAGTTAGTAATATCCGCAGGTATCCAAGAGTGAGGAGAAATTAATAGGTGTTATGAGCAGGACAGCCTTGAGATTCTGCTGTCTGAATTGCATGCTGCAGACATAATTATAATGCTTGTAGAAATGAGTAATTAACAGGACATATCTTTCTGAACCAATATCCCAACTGTAACAGAGGCTAGTACATAAAGAGAGTAAGAGCAATAGCTGATAATCTCATCTAAGTTGTCCTCTAGGTTTTAGTGCTTTGTAGGCCAGAGACTCATTGAGTCAGAGGGGATGTCTTAGGACAGGGATGAATTAGGGACCTGAACATGCAGTTTTCTTCTTTGTGTATAGCAGTTGCTTCCTCTAGACAAAACATTTTTCATGTTTTGGGATTTGCTTTAGCATTACAAATCAAAAGGGTGAAGAATAGGTGATTGGAAATGGTAGATGGACAAATGAGTGAGGGACATGTATACTCCATGGACCGTATCCCTGTCATAGTGGAGAATTCTACTAACACGTGGATAGCTGTCCTCAGTGTGTGCCTGTGTTATAAAATGCTGCTGGAAAACATGCATGAAATGAACCAAAATGCCAACCAGCAAAGAGAGTGAACTGAATAAATACCCTTTCCTGTACCTGGAGAGATGAAGATAATACATGTGAAACAGAGGGAATGGCAAGTCATATAAAAGAAGATATAAAAAGGAATCAGGGATCTTCAGGGCTGGGCTGAGGCATTCTTATATAAAATATCTGAGCAGAAAGATGCTTTGAAACAATTACTCCACCATTATATTTTTAGAACCCATCTTTTTTTCAGACTTACCTTGCTGGAGTCACTGTGACTAAGGCAGAAAAAAATGCCAGAGTCAATGAGAAAAAGAGTTGCCAGAGTTCAGAGATCTTTCCAAGCCCTTCGCTTTCAAGGACTTTCCTCTATCTCTGTGTAATAATGTGTGCATTTGGCCATGATGAGCTCAGGCAAATTCTCCATATTGGAATTATGTTAATTGCACAGAGCCAGTGGGTCCTGATCTACAAATGGAGTCCTGAACTACAAATGGAGGACTGCAGGCATAGCCAACAGAAAAGAGGCATGGACTGAAAAGTCATTATGTCTGATTTTCAGAGTCATGCAGTTATACCAAAATAACAAAGAGAAATGTCATCACTTGCAACATACCTTTGTGAAAGGAAAACATATTACATGAAGGAAAGAGTATCCACTCAGAATTGTGCCATGCCTTTAAAAATGATTGTACACAGGAACATGGCTGTCACAGCCATTTTTGTTGTGCATTTGACATATGTTAATAATTTGAATCCAGTCAGAAGTAATTACCTAATAGCAATATAGTGCTTTTTAAATATCACCAGGATGTCTGGAACTTAATGTGAAACAAACATTAAAGACAGAAAATAAAGGGTGAATGGGAAGCAAACACTGGAAACACTAGGATAGAAAATAAAGGGTGTTCAGTTCATTGCTGAAAAAGTCCTGTGCAGGTTCGCCAGTGATAACAATACACTAAGAGTCAGACATAGCCAGCTTTGAGAAAAACAAACGTTTAATTCTGGTCTAAGGTGAAAACTTAGGCATGATTTTCCTCATGTCTCATGGTATGTAAAACAAATACTAAACTGAAGTCCTGAAGCTGACCGAAGAATTGTTACGTTTATTAGGTGTCTAACAGTTTATCGAATGCCTAAATGGAACCTCAGCAGTGAAAATATATGGTCGGTAAGGCCATAAAAACCGTGAGCGGTGGCCGAAAGTCCGCCACGTCCTGGCACAGTGGCATTGTCACGCCATCAGGGAAAAAAAAGGGGTTTCCTTTCGTTCCACGGCTGCAGAGGGGACGAAGCAGAGAAAAGCGGTTCGGGGGAAGCGAGGGGCTGGGGAATGCGAGCGAGGCGGGCGGAGCGGGGACAGCAGAAGCGGAGCGGGGAGGGCGCGGAGGAGCCGCCGGGCCCGGGGAGGAGCCCGGCAGCGGCCAAAGGGGCGGCGGCGCAGGCGCGGCCCCACGCGCCGTGCCCGCCCCTGCTCCCAACCAGGTCGGCTCCCGTCGCATAAAAGCTCGGGCCGCAGGCGGCGCCGCCTCGCAGCAGCAGCGCCGTGAGTGCAGCACCATGTCTGGTCGGGGCAAGGGCGGCAAGGGGCTCGGCAAGGGCGGCGCCAAGCGCCACCGCAAGGTGCTGCGCGACAATATCCAGGGCATCACCAAGCCGGCCATCCGCCGCCTGGCTCGGCGCGGCGGCGTCAAGCGCATCTCGGGGCTCATCTACGAGGAGACGCGCGGTGTGCTCAAGGTCTTCCTGGAGAACGTGATCCGCGACGCCGTCACCTACACGGAGCACGCCAAGAGGAAGACGGTCACGGCCATGGACGTGGTCTACGCCCTTAAGCGCCAGGGTCGCACTCTCTACGGCTTCGGCGGCTAAAGCCTTGCATTCTTGTCAAACCACCACCGCTACTGGATCACAAAGGCTCTTTTCAGAGCCACCCACCTATTTCCTGAAAAGAGCTGTGTTGCTGTGGCTTGGGCTTTTGTATTTGCTACTGCTTCTTTCCCCCTAACTGCACCTGTCTTCCCTCCCTCTCTGTCGCGCTTTGAGTAGGTCGGCTTGCTTGTTCCTCAGCGGCTTTTAGGAAAGGAAAAAAAAAAAAAACAACCAAATCCACAGGTCAAGGGTAAATAACCCTTTCCTATGAAAACTACTGTATGCTTAAGTTCTTCACAATAAGGCCGTTGCAGCATTCTTTTCCTTATTCCCGGCCCGTGACTCAAAGGCAGCTGCAGATCCAGCCGCAGCGCCTAGCAGTAACGCTGTGGCGGAGGATCTTCGCTCGTGCGGCCGCCGCTGCCGCCCGGGGGACCGCGGGCCGGCGGCCGGGGAGGGTTCGGCGCCCGCGCCATTTCCAAAAGCCCGCGCAGCCCGCGATTGGCTCCGGCACATTCCGCGCTCGTCCCAGCACAGCAGCTCCCTGTGCGCCGGGAACAGTGATCCGACCGATCCCGGCCCACGACGATAAACGTGTCCCGGCAGAACCGGCCCGGGTTGGCTACAGCAAACACACGCCAAAACACGCGCACACGCATACAGAGCCAGAGACAAGCACAGGCACCCTTTTCCCTCTCCCCTGGCACCACGGCCGCAGCACTTCAAGCTCTTTCTCGAGGCCGTGGGTGGCTCTGAAAAGAGCCTTTGGGTTTCGCTTCTGGGCTCCGGACGCTTCCGCCGCCTGGTTTACTTGCTCTTGGCTTTGTGGCTCTCAGTCTTCTTGGGCAGCAGCACGGCCTGGATGTTGGGCAGCACGCCACCCTGCGCGATCGTCACCTTGCCCAGCAGCTTGTTGAGTTCCTCGTCGTTGCGGATGGCGAGCTGCAGGTGGCGGGGGATGATGCGCGTCTTCTTGTTGTCGCGGGCCGCGTTGCCCGCCAGCTCCAGGATCTCGGCCGTCAGGTACTCCAGCACGGCCGCCAGGTACACGGGCGCGCCGGCGCCCACGCGCTCCGCGTAGTTGCCCTTGCGCAGCAGCCGGTGCACGCGGCCCACGGGGAACTGCAGCCCGGCCCGCGACGAGCGCGACTTGGCCTTGGCGCGCGCCTTGCCGCCCTGCTTCCCGCGCCCGGACATGTTCGCTCCCTCGCTCGCTCTGCGGACAAACTCCCGCCGACTACGAAAAACTGCACCGCCGTCACCGCCGCCCTCAGTCCTCCGCCTTTATATCCCCTCCCTTCGCGCGGCCGCCGCCTCCCGATAGGCCGAGACCCCCTATCGGAGCACACGCCGCCCAATGGCGCAGCGAATCTCACCCTGACCAATCGCGAGGGGCGCAGCGCCCAAAGGCTCCGCCCGCGCTCTCCGCGCGGCCAATGACGAGCCACGCCGGGCGGGCCCCGGCTCTGCCCGCGGGAACCGGCGCTCCCGCCGCCGCCCCCGCGCGGACCGCCGGGGCCGCGCTGCTCCGTCCCGCACCGTGTTCGCTCTCTCCCGTGTCTTAATATGCTTTTAAAGCCGCCGGTCTCCACAGTGCTGGTCGTGGGGGCTGAGTCGAGGAAATAAAGGGGCAAAGAGAGACAGCGTGGCGCTGTCTCTGAGGGGCAAAAGCGGAACAGAGGGGACACGCATGGACTGACAAGGAAGCATTGCCCTCCTATATTTTTATCGGGAATTTATTTATAAAGAGCATCTAAAGTTAAAACTTAAACTGAATCTAAACCTTCAGTTATAAGCTTTGATTCATAGCCATAGCTCACAATTTCATAACTGCTAAATAATGTTAATATATCAGTGTGTTATCAATCGGAACTTAAAGCTCCGAATAGTTTTCATTCTTGGACTGAAATTACTTATTTAATATCCCTTTTAAATATTCATTTCAAGTATATATTTTCAACTAATTTTTTTTCCCTTTTATATTTTGCATAATTCTGTGATAATTTAGGGTATCTAAATAAAGATAAAAATACCTTCAAGTAATTTTCTTTTTGTTAGGTCTGCACAAACATATCCACTAAGAAAGAAGTGAAAATTCCACACTAAACTAATGATAAAGTAAGTTAATAAACAAGGTACAATTATAACCTTGCACAATGTAAAAAATACTTTTAAGGCGTGCGTGATTTAGCACTGAAGTAATATTCTGTCTGTTAAAAACAATACCAAGTCGAAGAGATTTCGCAAATGATAATACTATACATTGTAAATACTTACAAGAACACAAAGTACTCAATAAGAACAGAGGCTGAGAATGGTAGGCAGGATCTGGGAAGGGCGGGAATTTTAAAATTTGAATCCACCAATGAAATTCTGCATCTACTCGCCTGCCTATCAGAGGATGCACCAGGTCTATAAATAAGCCCCAAATACAGGCAGGCATTCATTGCTACTGTAGCTAACTGCTCGGTTGCTTCCCTTTGGAGTGATGGCGCGCACGAAGCAGACGGCGCGGAAGTCGACGGGCGGCAAGGCGCCCCGCAAGCAGCTGGCCACCAAGGCTGCCCGCAAGAGCGCGCCGGCCACGGGCGGCGTCAAGAAGCCGCACCGCTACCGGCCGGGCACGGTGGCGCTGCGCGAGATCCGGCGCTACCAGAAGTCCACGGAGCTGCTGATCCGCAAGCTGCCCTTCCAGCGCCTGGTGCGCGAGATCGCGCAGGACTTCAAGACCGACCTGCGCTTCCAGAGCTCGGCCGTCATGGCGCTGCAGGAGGCCAGCGAGGCCTACCTGGTGGGGCTCTTCGAGGACACCAACCTGTGCGCCATCCACGCCAAGCGCGTCACCATCATGCCCAAGGACATTCAGCTGGCCCGCCGCATTCGCGGCGAGCGTGCATAAGCTTTGTCAGAACTAACCTGTTTGAAGAAAACCCATTTAAATCAACACAACGGCTCTTTTAAGAGCCACTACATTTACAATAAAAGGAGCTGTAACACTGAGGTTTGCATTGTGTGTATATGGACTCTTACCCAAAACCCCACTGAAAGTTTAAAACCCAGAGTGAATGGAACTGAATGTTGGATTTCATACAATTATATTTTGGGATACAAACGAGAGGATTGTGTTTTTCCGATGCGGGGAAGTGTATGACGTTTTAAAAGCTGGAAAAAAATATAGAAAAGGTGTTAAAATCGAGTGCAATAGCGGGGAAATAACCCATCATGGAACAAAGGAAATTTTACAGATCCCTCAGTCCGTGCGTGTCCCCTCTGTTCCGCTTTTGCCCCTCAGAGACAGCGCCACGCTGTCTCTCTTTGCCCCTTTATTTCCTCGACTC